GAAGGACAAAGCCTATTTACACATGAGGAGCCATCTCCTGAGCACCGGCACTTTACAAATGAACGATCTCCTTCCCACCATTGCCCACCACCAGCCTGTGAGCTGCAGATTCAGCTTTTGTCAAAAAACACCCACACAGAGCTGACCCTAAAATAAAGAAACCTTCGTTGTGATATTTTTCTTTTATAGCTCCCAACTACTGTAAACTGTGGAGGAGCAGAGCTGCAAAGCTGGCCATTAAACTGTCTGCTCTTTCCTGTTTGAACAGGACCTCTCCAGGGTTTTAGCTGCCTCAACCACCATGGGTCAACATCCAGGAAGGAAGACGTTTCTAAGGAAACCATGAAGGCTTTCCACCAAGGTGGTTGCATGAAAGCACTGAGACTGGTGAGAGTGACAAAAAGCAGTTCATTGGATATTGTAGAAAAAGGTAAAAAGTTATTGCATGCAGGCTGTTTTTATAATGAGGCCATTCAGGCATAAAATCACTTTAAATAGGTAGTTTGTTTCCACATTGCAGAATTATTTTCGTCCTACTCTTTCAAGGAGGAGTTTATCTAGGCACAGGGGTGTATAAATAATAAATAGGCCCGGGGGCAAGGCATTTTTACTTTTTTTCCCCCTGCTTCGTATCCTGTTGCAGTTGGTCTCGGGCTGCAAAATGAATTTTGTTTTCTAAAATAATATTATTTACTTTGAGCACGGTCCTCTGCGAGAGGCCACGAATTCTGTTCTGCAGAGTTGCAATGTCCCAGAGCAGACAGGAGCTTTACAGTCCAGCATCTGCATTAAATGACTTCTCTGTGGGTCACAGGGCAGTTTGCTCTGGGGACATTAGCTCGGGGACCTCCAGGAAAGCTCAGTGTGTGCATCATCCAGTGCTTGGGCTGTGCCCTGGAATGTGAATGGTTTGGGGATAACCCGTGGACAGAAGTGCAGGATCACCCTGGAGGGGGTCAGTTACAGGAGGTGGTGACAGCCACCACTGGAGATGCACAGCTGTGGGACTCTGCACAGGCACAGCAGGTTCATTTCTTCTGTTTTCTGCCACTCTGAGCACCTCTGGATGTATTTGGAATAATAATAATCTCCCAGCCCGCAAGCCCAGGAGGCCAGACCAGCACCAGCACTGCTCTCACAAGGTTTCATCCTGCCCAGGCAGCTCTGAGTCTGCCCTGCCTGGGCTGGGGTGACCCTGGAAGAACCAGTTCAGGGTCTGGCCCCCCAGCCTGGCCCCTGGTGGGTGCAGGTGGTGCCCAGCAGCCCTGCAGAGACCCCAGAGCTGCTGAGCACCCAATGGCACAGGAGGGAGGCTGCAGCAGCCATGGGCTGAGCAGCCCTGCTCACCACTGCAGGTTTTGGAGGTGGTGTGGGCACACTGCCAGTGACTGCCCACAATTTAATCCCAAGGGCTCTTGGTTTGAATGTCAGTCTCTCTGACCTTTGCCATTTTCCTCCTGACACAGCCCTGTTTGTTGCTACCCTGCTCTCCAGTCCCTGCAGGGAGCCCTTGTTCACTAGAGCAAAACTGGACTGAGCAAACAACAAATATTTAGGAGCCTCAGGGCATGGGAAAAAAAAAAGAAAAAAAGAAAAGAGGAGTTTCCCTTCTCTATTTTGCTTGTAGCCTCAGGCTTTCCCTATAGGCTTGATAGGATAGAAGGGAAACAGGAGAATGCTGCTGCTTCTCATCTCTTCTTTGGATTGCCACCTGTGCATCATCAAGGGTGAATGTTGATAGTGCAAGAGGCAAAAACCCCAGGATTTTGGTATGAGAGACACGGGGCTCAGCAGGGAGATTCCAGAAGGATGGAAAGCACAGTAGGTGGTTCATGGAGGGGGATAACAGGGACTGCAGCAGGGAAGGGCTGGGCTCAATGGGCTCAATGAGCAAAGAGCCTCCATCACACATGCCAGAGAGGTCCAGAAGTTTGAACCTGGGGGAAATAAATGGAAAATGTTCAGGAAGGATCAGCCTGAAATGATCCAGACACACAATAAAGTCCCAGGTTGCTGGAGGGGGAGGGAGGGAAATTCCTGCTCTCCTCAAAGAGCCTGAGTGATTACCTCTAAAAGCCATGTGCCAGTGCTCAAGATAAAATAACAGGTCATCATCCAGGGCCTTCCAGGCTGGAGTCTCATTTCTGTGCTCCAGGGGCTGAAGTGCTGGTTCAGAGGTCACCTCAAACTGAGCAAGGACCAAGCTCATTTTCACTGCAGGCAGAGCCCTCGGGACAGGACCCTGCACTCATTCCCTCACACCCTGTGGCAGAGAAGGTTTGGAGATCCACAGCCTGGAATTGGTGGTGAGAAGGGGATTTATCTTCACTCATGTAGTGAAGACCTGCAGAATAAACCTGGCCTGAGGAAAACCCCCATGGTCCATCCCCTTGCACCAAAACATTGTCTTCATGCAGGAATTGTTTTATTCCTTCCCTAAACGGTGTCTTCACCTGCACAGGTGGGTGATCTTTGTCCCAGCTAAAGATGCAGAATGCTTGCAGTCAAGTGTAGATCTCAACAAGCTCTTCACCAAAACATAAAAAGTAAAAAAAAAAAAAAAAAAGGCCTGTCTTTAAAATGGAAACATTCATTTTTTTCTGGTTTGAAAGGACCTTTTGGTTGCTTGCTCCTGTTTTCCTGTTCCTGGAACATAGTTAATGGGGTTTGGAAGGTGAAACAGCACCTGAAGCACAGCAAACACCCACTGGGTGATGTCCCCTTGTCCTTGTCCTTTTCCCTGCTGGGGCTGCCCTCAGCTGTACCTGGAGCTGTGCTGATGGAGAGCTCCAGAAGTGAAAAAGCCACGTGCTGCTAGCCTAGAAAGCAGAATTTCCTTTAATTTTTTTCCTTTTCCCCAGACAGCATCGAAAAACAGCAGTGCAAAACACGGGTGAAATAAAATTCCCAGGTAATTCCATAGGGAGAGCCTCTCCTCAATCCAGCACAGTGCTTGGGTTAGAGGGACATTAGACAAAGGGCACTAGGAACTTCGGGATAATCAACTAACCGTGATGTCGATGTTTTATACAATATTTTAGTCCACATTCCCCCTGAGCCATGAATTTCCACCCTATCCCCTTCGCTTATGCACGGCTCTGTTTTTTCCTGTAACAAATCCCGTATTTGCAGTCCTTTATGGCCCTCGGAAAAACCACTGCCCTTCCTCAGAAAGAAATAACCCACAAACCCCAAGAATCAACTGCGACGCAAAAGCTCTCAGGGGCTTGTTGAGGTGCCCTGCGAGCCATTCTAGGTTTTAATGTTTATTCATTTTAAGCCGGAGCAGCTTTTTTCCATTACAAAGTGATCTATTTCACAGCTTTCAGCCCACAGTGTCAAGCAATCAAGCGCAGTTATACCTTAACAATTGCTAATATATTTCAGCACCTAATGAATCCATGCAAAAAAGGCAGGTGAAGCCTAGAAACAGCCTACAGTTAACTCCTGCCTTCCCCCCGCAAGGATTTTTACCCCCTGCCTCCCAATCTTATGTTTTTACTGCATGGCAATTAATTAGAAAGATCAAGATAGAAGAAAGATGGAAACCTTATTACTGGTGTTGTATTTCCATACTAGTTTTTGCCCAGGAAAAACGTTTCCCAGGGGATTAGCTAATAGTTAAGCTATTAAAATCTTCTAAACTGGAAAGGTTATTTGCAAGGTCAGGCAACTTTACTAAGCTGGTAGTTTCAAAATTATCCCGGGTTCCTCTACTAATTCATCGATCAAAATAACACGTTTTAAATTACAGATGAAAATGGGACAGATTTAAGTTCCCGTCATGTAAGCCCTGCATGAAAACTGCACATTACAAGGCTCTGACCGTGGTAATTTTTAAGTGAGAATGAAACATTTGTTCTTATTATGAAGTGCTGATTTACTACAAATTCACAAAGAGCTGAACCAGCCTTCACGCTGAAAACAGGTTCATCTGACTGGCTTCTCCCAAGGGCTTTTAGCAGTTAACACACATTATTCCCCCACTAGCATTAGCCATCCTTCCCATTCCCAGTTAAAAGCAGGGATGCACTTCACAGGAAGGAGAGATAAAGGAGAGCTCTTCTCATGGATTCACTAATTTAACCCAAAATTTCTATGTGGGAATCCCAAAAGATCTTCAGGGGCCAGCTGAGCTGTCACAGGGCAATACTAACCCCAAAAGGCAGGTCATGGGATGCCCATGTATGAGAGCTCTTTCCACTGGTGTGCCAGGAGAAATTCCCTGGATCAGTGGCTCGGGTCAAAGGTTTGTTATTACCCTTCTGCTTTGAATTTTGAACTCCTCCATCTACATCAGTATTTGGACCATCCAGGTGCCACCCTACTGGGGTGGGAGTTTGGGGTTTCCAGGCTAGCTCTGTCAATCTGTCATTGCAACTATTCCTAACACTAGGACCCCCATTTGTGGATAATTTCAGGTTGGCCAGTACAGAAGTGGCATTTGAAAAATCTTGCTCTGGAGACATTGAGCATCTCTTATATTCGAAGTCTGGCACAGAGAGGAACATTTGCTTCTCTTTTTTTTGTGAAAATAAAGTTGGGAAGGAATTGGGGAGGGGTTAAATGAACCTGTAAAGCATCAGCAGGCAGACAGGTCCAATCCTCCAAAAATCAGCACAGAGGATTGAGATGCCCAAGGCTTAAAAACAATCAACTTCCAGCCTCACAGGGAATGCTGGGGAGGCCCAGACTGGCAGACCTCGAGGCTTTTGCATGCTGTGGACAGCACTCAGTGCTCACAAGAGCCATATCCCCTCCTGAGCCACGTTTTTAAGGACGATTTTGTGCTGTCAGAAGCACAAGGGCTGTTCCACCCCTCTCTGCTCAAACCATCCACATTCAGGGGCAGCAGTGGCAGAGCTGCTTTTCTCTCCATCTGGGCCCTCTGTGTCCTCCAGCAAAGGAGTCAGCTCTTGTGGCTACAGCTGCAGCAATCCCCAGATGTGGAAGCTTGGATCATTTTCTCTCCCAGCCAAGGCATCCGGCTCTGTGGCTTGTTCAGCTAATAGCTTTGCTGGCAGTGCTGCGAGCAGCTCTGGAGCTAAATAGTCATGGCGAGGCTTGGGGAGGAGCTCACCTGTCCTACAGGGCACTTTTCATTCTTGGCTTTGAAAGGATGTGACTCACTGACATAAATTTTGTAGACTACAGAGAGAAACGCTACTGGATAATAACGATCGCCTTTCAAAGTCTCTGCTATCGGATCTCCTGTTACTCCAAGAATTGTTCCTGTCAAGGTAATGTGTTTATAAGCTTTTTTTTCATTGTGAACCAGTTGAAAAGTAGTCAGGCAGCAGGACATATGGAAATCATATGAGGTTTTAGTGCAGTACACTTGGAAGTGATCTCTTCAGGAACGCGGGGCTCGCGAGTCGCAGGGCATTGTTTAATGCCAGACTGCTGGCATCACCCAGAGCTGATGCATGGCAGGAAGGGAACCTGAAACTCCTCAGCCTTTCATCTTTGGGGGGATCACTAAGCTCTCTGGGTTGAAAGTGTCTTTGGTGCTGGTCAAAAATCTCCCACTAAACTTTTTTTCCAGGGAGAACATGGGGTTTGGTTACGTCAACACCATCTGTGTTCTCAGAACATTTGGTTTTTTCTACTGGAAACCGAAACCCCCACTGGTGAGCAGCCCAGTTCTCCCATCCAACACCTGGCAAGGGGATTTAGAGCAGTGATGAGCACAGCATCACCTACCCTGGGGATGTTTTCCTGAGCTGGCACCTCCCTGCTGCCACAGCACTGAAGATGAGGCTGGAATGTAGAGCTGGGATAAGGGAGAATGGCTTTAAACTGGAACAGAGTAGGTTTTGGATGGATATTAAGGATAAATTGTTCCCTGTGAGGGTGGGGATGCCCTGGCACAGGTTGCCCAGAGAAGCTGTGGCAGCCCCATCCCTGGAAGTGTCCAAGGCCAGGTTGGATCTTTGAGCAGCTAGTGGAAAGTGTCCTTGTTTGGAACTGAATAATCCTTAAGATCCCTTCCAACCCAGATAATTCTCTGATTCTATGAAAGATGACATGAGCAGATTTCAGAAGCAGGACTTGCTGACTGTGACTGTTTCCACATCTCATTTCTTGCCTGGCACATCCCTGGCTGCACAAATTACTTCTTATCAAGCTCTGACCATGCTCTTTGCCCCTTTTTTTCTAGATGGACTCCATCCTCAGTATCCTTACGGAGTAACAGACTGTAATTTTTTTATGAAGCACCAGCTGCAGAACCTGCCCCTGGCTCTGATGGTTGCTTACATGTAGCTCAAAGCAGTGTGCAAGCAGGCATTGCACAAAGCCAGCTCACACTTGCTGCTTTAACTCAGCTCCAAGGGAATGAACTCTTGCAGCCCTGCAGAATTCCAGGGGTAAGAAACTGCAGCAGCTGAGCTGGTAGAAAATTGTCCACATCTATGTGGGCAGAAAATAAATTTGCTTTGCAGAAGGCCTGGAGCAAAGAACACATGGCTTGGCAATTACAGTGTGACCATCAGGCTTGTTTTGCCTCTTTTTTAACTCACTGTGTCATTAAAACTTTCCTGACTTGCAATTCTTTGGTGGGTAAATTGCATATTTTTATATTTTAACAGGATGAGCTTTACACTGGCACCTCTCTTAATTTCATCTCTGGGATTGGCTGGTTCAACTTCTGAAACAAGAAATGGCTGAGCAGATCTGTGTATTCTAGCTGAACATCATGAAGTCTGTAGTTTTCTTTAGGGGACAGCATGTGGGCTATTATTAAACCAGAAAACATATGTGAATAATTGAGGAGAGCAATCCAGCATTTAGGTTAGAAAATGTGAAGTCAGCTTGCTGTGAATAACATATCTCTGCATTTTGACCTGTTGCTGACAAAGAATATATTTCACTATTACCTGGATAGAAATGATTGGGGATTTTTTCTCCTGTAAATGAAAGCCAGTTGAGAGAAGCTGGCAACAGACAAATGATGCTCATTCCTCCCCTGCTTCTACTTAATGGCTGATATCGAGATGCTCTGCATTCACTGGTGACACTGCTATTAAAAACATATTTCTTATCTGGCTTTTTTATTCCTACAAATCGAGCGTGGAAATAAATCTGTGCTCATGGAGCAGTGATGGGAAGAGAGGAGAGGAGAGGAGAGGAGAGGAGAGGAGAGGAGAGGAGAGGAGAGGAGAGGAGAGGAGAGGAGAGGAGAGGAGAGGAGAGGAGAGGAGAGGAGAGGAGAGGAGAGGAGAGGAGAGGAGAGGAGAGGAGAGGAGAGGAGAGGAGAGGAGAGGAGAGGAGAGGAGAGGAGAGGAGAGGAGAGGAGAGGAGAGGAGAGGAGAGGAGAGGAGAGGAGAGGAGAGGAGAGGAGAGGAGAGGAGAGGAGAGGAGAGGAGAGGAGAGGAGAGGAGAGGAGAGGAGAGGAGAGGAGAGGAGAGGAGAGGAGAGGAGAGGAGAGGAGAGGAGAGGAGAGGAGAGGAGAGGAGAGGAGAGGAGAGGAGAGGAGAGGAGAGGAGAGGAGAGGAGAGGAGAGGAGAGGAGAGAAGAGAAGAGAAGAGGAGCTGGCCTCAAGCTTGAGGCCACCAAGGTGTGCACCTGCCTGGGCTGAGCTCTGAGCTGGCCATGCAACATTTTCACACAGGAAAACACAAAACTCTAATCCTCAAGGAGCCAAAAATGTGCTGGACTCAAGAGAGGGGATGTAAAACCCAAAGGAGACCCCAGTGCAGCCACTCAGCCCAGCACTGGTGCTTTATGGAGAGGACTGGGCACCAGAATCTGTGTGGAATTCTTCCTGTAGCAGTCCCAGGTGGAGGGACAGCAGCAGAACATGCTGATCCACCATGCAGAGCACTCTGCTCTTGGCATGGGTTCATCCTATTAATCCCATAAATAAGTGTATTAATATGTGGATGGAACACATTGCCAAGTACAAAATAATCCTTGGCAAGAGACATACATGTGTGTGTGAGATACATGATATACAAACACCATCCTACCCAGATCAGGTTTCCAGGGTTAAAAATACACGATGAATTAAAATTTCATATGAAATTCTAGCTTTGGTGAGTACTGGAAAACATTACTTTCCCCCTTCAACCCCATAAAGGCTTTTATTGGGGGAGATGAGTACATGTTTCACAGTACATTTTCCACAATGGAAGGGAGTGTTTTAATCACAAGTGTTACTGGGAAGAAATGAAATTACTTTACCAGATTGCTTTAAGGTACTAAAAAAACCCTGCAGTGGTCCTTAATGCCATGGAGGCAAGGTGGGACAGCACATGGACTCAACTGAAATGTAATGACAGTAAAAAATGTCATCTTTATTTACATTAACCAAATGTGAGTTTGAGGTGATGTTTTACCTCCAGTTTATCTGATTTTCTCTGTTTATTTTATTGTCTGTCCTTGGGGCGTGGATAAAGCTTTACAAGACTATGTGAAGCCAGCAAAGACATAACTTCAGGCTTTTTAAGATCTACAGATGGGCTTCTTTGGAGTGCTGGCAGTGTGTGCAGACAGGATCAGGTATCTGCCCTGAGGGATCTGGGTCTCTGGTGACAGGGAAAATCCCAATCTTTCCTTGTAATGGCATCTACTGACCAAATGGGGAAAAAAACCACAAAAAACAGAGGGATGGATAAAAAAGAGGACACTGGGAGTGCCTCCATATTTCATGCCAGCTCAGACTTGGCCACATCTTGGTGATTTTCTTGCTGCAAAGTCCTTTTAAGAACTCTCTGTTGTTTGGCCACAGGAGGAGCTCCCAAGGAGGGATCCCATCATTCCTCCTATGAGAGGCCAAAACCCACCGAGGTCTGCTGGGGAGGCTCTGAGCTGCACTTCCCACTCTTGAATTTCAGTGCAAAAGGGAACTCTTGGTGCTCAGGAGCTGACTGGTGTGTGCCTCTGGCTGTGTGAGAGCCACACTCACTGCAGGGACCTCCAAATCCTGAGATATTCCAGCCTGCACCCTGCAAACAGCCTGGATTAGCAGGGAATAACATCCCTCCTCTGCCTTTTTAGGACTCCCTCAGGAATAACCTGATATGGTATCAAAACAAAACCCCTCTGTTGCTCCTTTTGGCATTCAGCCCTACCAGGACAACGTGGGACTAATTGATCAAATGAGATTGATGAGGCCACCAGGCAAAGCTTGGGTGCAAACCAGTTCCAGATTTAACACCAGCTCTGCCTTTATATTCCCACTGAAATCACAATTTTATTGCATAGGTAACTCAGGAAAGAACCAACCACTTTGGAGCCAGGCTCTTGGTGCAGTTTTTATTTGTGACATTTTTCCGTTGTGTCTGAACATAGTTTTAATTTTGTGTCAAAATAAATCTGAGACTGATAATTTTTATGATTGTTTTACTGAGAAAAGGCAGTAAACTACTTGCTTTGGCTGCACTTACTACCCTGCAAAAATTATTTGTCCAAGCACAGCAGCAAAGTGGATGAGGGGAGGAATAATAAAAAAGAAAAAAAAGCACCTGCCCACAAAATCCTTTAATCCTTTGCAAAAATTGGATTAAGATTTGTCATGTTCCCTGTTTCAAAGGAAAGGTGGCAGCTCAGAGAGCAATGTGAAAAAGCTGCAAAGTTTGGGTAAAATCCCTCTCCCATGGTTTGTAGTGCCAGCCACAAAGCAGGTAGCAGAGAGGAGGGGTCAGGTCCCAAAGCTGCTCTGCCTTTACCTCAAAGGTATGTAAATCCCAAAGAACCAGTTGCTTCCTTAACTCCATGAAAATAAAGCGCTTGGGAAAATCTGGGTGAGCAGCAGCACCCGTGGGGAGGATGGGAGGAAGAGGAGGGGGAAGAAAAAGCTGTTTTTCTGCAGTTTCTGCCACCAACTACTCTTTTTAGGGTTAAGAGAAGAGCAGCATCTTTCCCAGCTCTGAATGGAGGGGGGCTTTGCTGAGCCCTGGGACGTGCACAGGTAGGTTCCACATGAGAAAAATAGAGAGTTCACGGTAGGTTCCACAGGAGAAAAATAGAAATAAGAGTGATCTAGGAGAGAAATGTAAGAAAATGTGTAGTCTGAGAGCTCCCTGTAGCTCCAGTCAGGCTGCATCAACACCTTGGGCTGACTTGTTCCTCCAGAAGTCGTCACTTCGGTGCAGCTGGGCAGGCTGGAAAACATCCTGGTATAAAATGATATTTGCAGAGTAACCAGAGAAAGAAGAGGTCACACCATTTGTGAAAGTAATCTGAGCAGGGAAGCACAGGCATGGCTGGCAGCTCAGCTCATCAGGACCTAACATTAATTAACCAGAAGTGGAGGAAAGGAGATAAGCCCTGGCACAGGTGTTGGTAGGATGGGGGTTTCTTGCTTCACTCTGGAATCCAGCCATCCCCAAAACACAACCTATCTCTCCTTGCTTCAGGCAATTACCCCCCAGTCTCAGCTCCAATAAACTTCAGCTGGTGCTGTACACTGTTATTTATTTGTGCCTCCTGGTGCTGCTGAGAGACCCTACAGGAACGTGAGCGAGCAGCAAGACATTTCCACCTCTGGTGGAGGCAGGGGAAGTGACATCACCCTGGGGGAACCCGTGGACCAAGAAGATGAGGGAAATGGGATTTTCAGAACCACTGTGAGCTGAACAAGGTCTGATCTCAGCGAGGTTAATTGGAGGAACATGATTACTGGGGCAATCCCAGCCAGGGCTGTGCAGCATCAGGCAGCGCTCCCTGATCGGATGCGATGGGAAGCGCTGTCTCCTGGATCACAGCCCTCCAGAGGAATCTGGCCTTGATTCAGCTGGAAAAGCAAGTTCTCGAGAGTGGAGAACATTGCTGGTGACCTTCACAGGCTACACAGGACGTCAGAGGCAGACCTGTGAGCAGCACTGCAGCTCTCCTCACACTCCGGGAAATGTCTCAGAGGACAAAACCTGCAAGTGGAAAAGCTGAAAAATGCCTGAGAGCAACAGACCACTGGACAGGAAAGTGGGTGATCCCTGGGGTAAGAAGAACTGGTATTTTTCACAATAAAATTCCAGAATGACTCCAGATTCCCCTGATGGACGCAAGGTTTGTTCTGTTACTTCAATATAAGTCAGCTGTTAGGTTGCTTCTTTTCTTTCTGTGTTCCCATGACTACTGAATTAAGTTTTCCCACTAACTCCTCTCTTGAAAAGCAGGAATCTAGAGAAGTTTGAATTGTCTTTGAGGGGGGAAAAAATAAAAGCTTAGTGGATCTGGCTTCTCCTCTGATCAGACACCATAGACATGCTGTTGGTTTCCATACCAGGAGGTGATTAGAACCAGAGGTGAGACCCATGGGTTAACTAGAAAACATCATTACGCTCATCCCACGTGACCTTTCCTCACCAAAAGGGTGAATAGGAAACCAAGCTGTGCGGGATGGAGCAGCCCCAGATTGCTGGCAGATGTCAGGATGAAGAGGAGAAGAAGTTCATTTACGTCTGTGAAGGAAAGGTCACCGAGGAGCACAGCTGATGGCAGCGTGGATGTGCCACTGAACATGACAGCAGCCTGCTGCCAGGGACATTTTCTGTGCAGGCAGCACATTCCACAACTCCAGCTCCAGTTGGAGTGAGGTTAGGTGCAAATCCAGGCTCAACCTCAGACACCCACTGCTGTCCAAGCTGTTTTTAAAGTCATTTTCACCCTGATATTTCCAAAGAGCAGCTCCTCGAGGTGGGTGAATTCCAAAGAGGCTGATTGTACAAATGAGTGGTGGTGGATGGTTGGACTGGGAAAACCTGCAGCTGGAGGAGTGGTGGGGCTGGATATTTTGCAGTGTTTGGGCTGTTTGTGAGCATGGCCTGACTCAGCTGTCTGCGTTTTCTCCCACACAAGGATGGATATTTCATGCAAACCTTGCCCTCCTTTCTTGTTTCCTGTGTATGAGTGACCCAAAGGCAGAGGAGGAGATAATGCAGAAAATCATGATGCATGAGGGGTACATATAAACCAGGAGCATTTTAAAAGGAAACTTTTCAGTATCTGAATTATTTAGCAGCAGAAGAGTTGGAGAAGAGGAGGGAGTTTCTGGCTGATGGTAAAAACAGGCAGCTGCCCTGTGGAGATGTAGTTGCCACTGACACATAGTGAGGAAGAGGAAGACAAAGACTTTCTGCCTGACAGGTTTTGGTGGGAACCACTCCAGGGATGGGAGATGTCCTGGAGAAGGGTGAATATCTGGTGAGTAGCTTGAGACATGTGAGGAGATGTTTCTGACCCATCAGCACAGCCCACACGTATGCTGGGCACCTCTCCCATCTCCCCAGGCAGGACACACCATCCCTGGGAGTGTCCAAGGCCAGGATGGATGGAGTTTTGGACAACCTGGTCTGGTGTAAGGTGTCCCTGCCCATGGCACGGGGTGGAACTGGATGAGCTTTAAGGTCCCTTCCCACCCAAACTATTGCATGATTCCATGATTTTATGATCTCTGTTTATAACACTGCTACTTCTGATACTGATCTTTTTACCCCTTCTCCTTCCATTGCATGTATGTATCTTTTAGGAATCCAGGCATTTCAACCAAATATGAATCCTATTTTTTTTTTTTTAAAGCAAAAACCCTTTAAAAAGCCTGTACAATGTACAATGCTGAGTTAATTTCCTTCGCTTGCAGCTCTTCCCTGAAAATCAGCTCAGCTTTTTGGGGTCTGACTACTCACAAGCACAGCCTGAGCCCGAGCCAGTCAAAGCTCAACACCTCTGAAAAGTCAGCCTGAGCTCCTCTGGGAGCCAGGAGCTGAAGAGGCCACATGAGAGCTACCAGAGCCCTCCTCTGGAGGGGATGCCAAGCTGGTGTCTGGCTCACACATGGTCTGGACCATCCTGATGCAGGCTTGCAAATCCTCACCATCCACACTGAATTTCAGCTGGGGGTTCGTGCAGTAACAACTTCTCTTCTGGCTCAGAGAATTCTCCCCATCAGTGACTCTCTCTCAGTACTTTTCCCCTTCCTGGTGTCTGTGCCTCTTTGAAGGCTGCCATGGATTGGGAATTCATCTTCAGATGAACTGCTGCTTGCCCAGAGTCTGTCACTGCTCTGTGGTCACCAGCAGAAAAAATGCCTAAAAACATTCATCATCATTATGTTAATTATGACTGTGATTGCTGCTCATTCCCAGGAAAAAAATGGAGTTTTCTCACACAGGAGTCCCTGATAAACCAGCAGCAAATCTTTTTTATTTTAACTATTTCTAACAGGAAAAGCACTCGCTTCTGTCTCCTTTAGGGCCACATCTGTGGGTACCAGCACCGGGCTCTGTGTAACCCAAGTGAAAACAGCAAAAGGTAAATGGGAAAGAGATGTCAAGAGTGCTTTTAATCATCTCAGGCCTCCTTTGACACATGTTTTTAATTGCTTAGAGGGGAAAAAAATAAGGGGAAAAAAAAAGAAATAAACCCACTTATGAATAATCTAATAAGCTTCCCAACCACCTGTGAAACGTGGCTCCCCAGCTGCAGAGAATCAAACACAGGAATAGAAAACAGAGCATTCTCCGAGGCAACACACATCCACATTAGATGCACGTCATTCCAAAGCCACAGAAGAAAAATGCATTAATGCCATTTTTGGGCTCATGGCATTCATGCCACTCCATGAAAAATTATCTCAGAGGAGTGTTGATTTAAGGAGCACCAAGAACCTGCTTTAAAGTCAAAAGGTAGAGGGGGAAGATGGAAGAGGGAGACCTGCTCCTTGGCATCCTTTCAAACAAAAAGAACAACATCATCAGGAAAATCCCACATAGCATTTATTTGAGGAATTGCAGTCCAGCAGGCAAAATTACTCAGGAATAATTAAACATGTTTCCCTGATATAAAGATATCCAGGAGTGAGTATTCAAGCAAAGTTAAAATGCAGAGCTGTATAGGCATGGCTTTATTCCAGAAGCAATTTGTTTCCCTGGTATGAAAAGAGTGTTATTTTCACTGTATTTTGGAGCCACCCAGCAAATGTCCTCAAGAAGCTGTTTTTTCATGGGAGAGAGCTGCTACACGGAGGGGGAAAAGGTAACATCCTGACATGGAGGAGGGAAAAAAGGGAGCTGTACTTTCAAGGCTGTTTTGACATGTTTTTCTTCTACCCTGAACCAGACTTCAAATACAGCTCCTTAACCACGACAGCTCAATGACCCACCCAGAGAACTCTTTTTCCACAAACAATATAGCGTCAGGAGAAGGAGCCTGAGAGGAAAAGCAAACACTCCTTAAAGCAACTGCTTTATTTGGATAGTTCTGAACCACTGGCATTGGGGGCAGGTTTTAAGTTGGTGGGCGTGAGGAGAGGAAAGCTCATGGTTTTGATTTGAAGTAGCCACATCAAAACCTGTTTTAGAGAAGGGAATGGCAGTATTTTGAAAAATACATCCTTCTTAAGGGGATGTTAGGGAAAACAATTCCGTGGCCTGTTGAATGATAAAAGCCAACACGCTGGCTGAGGAAAAAAAAAATTGCCTTTAAGTGCCTTGCATAAATGCATGATATACCTTGCCTGGCTGCAGCAGTGCCTGTAGGTGAAGGAAATTGTCATTCACACGTGTTGCTTGCGGGCACAGAAGGGTCAGCCAGCAGAACTGGTATCAAAATGTTGCCCTTTCTTCCCCACCAATCTGTAGTTGTGCACAGAGTGTTAACAAGAATTTAAAACCTGCCTGTCCCACCCTAAAGGGACACATGGATACACCCACCCATCCTAGCTGGGTACCTCCTGGAGCCAGGAGTCTCCAAGCCACTGCTGGTGCAGCACTGATGGGTGGCACCAAACCTGCACGCTGGCAGCTGTGGGATGGTGTTGGACAGCAACACTGGGAAATTAGGACATCCCTTGCAGACTTGCCCAGGCTTTATCTTTGCCTTTCACATGCACTCCTGGCAGCTGTGTTATAAACCTACTCTGTGCTTTTATTTGGTGACACTATTTCACATCTCATGATACCACAATGCCTCTCCCCCGGATGGCTGCTCACACATCCAAAGAACTCTTCCTACTTTTTGTGAACCACGTTTTACATTTCCACAGGTGAGGAAAAGCAAGGCAGCTCTTCTGCATTTCCAGAGGCTTCATGGCAGATGGGGAGGAGCACAGACAGCAGCAGATGGGTGACATCCCCGCCCAAGTCCAAGGGTGGGGTGGGCTGGCCATGGCATGGCTGGACTAACAAAGGATTTGTGTGTCAACCCATTTCCTGATGGGCCAAGAAGTTTCTGGTTGAGGCAGCCAGAGATCTGCAGTGCACTTCCACAAAGGACTTTGAGGTCTGGAAATGTGTTTTCACTCCGGTGTGGAAAAAGAACCAAACTTTACAAACACTTCCCCAAAATGTTTTTTGTTGTTGCTGTTGCCATTGAAACATCTGGTTTCAGACTGAGAAGATCGGGGTTCTCATTTAGATTCTTCTCTGCTTATAAATTGACCTCAGAAAAGCTGAACACTTTCCCATGGAAATGTTATTAATGGGACTATTTCACTGCAAGATGTTCTGGTTTGGATGAAACAGCATTTTCCGACAACAATGACAACAAATCTCATTAAAATGTTTGAGTAGCTCCAGTCTCCAAAAGCACCAAGTGGCTTATTGAGCATCTTCAGATCCTGCAGCCTGAAACATGCAACAACAATGTAAGAGCATTGTCACCCATCAGATAGGCAATAATTTGGAATTCACTTTGCATATCTGTAATGGACCCACATCAATGGAGCTTTGTTTGCGAGAAATCTCTTATAAAAATGGAAAAAGGAAAATGCCATGAAATACCTCCAGCCTCTCAATGCCATTCAGCAAGGATGCATTTTGGTCATTAATCATCCACATTTAGGCAAGCAGTTAGAAAAGCCCAGCTGTTCCAGGCCACAATGCTCTCCTTCATTGCATTAACGCCTCCCTACTAACAAGACAACTTCAACACACGATCCCCAAGAAGGGCCAGAATGCCTTATTCCCAACGTGGTCATTGTGGCATTGTTTTAGATTGAAAAGTTCATGGAGTTAATGCCTTTTTAAAAGATCCCAGTTGAGCCTAATTATCTTGTGAAGAGTTCTGTGCAGGCAATATCTGATTTCAAACCAGTGTTTATCCGACTGCTCCCAGGACAGCGCGGGGTCTCTGGGGACTCTGGACCTCAGCCTGTGTTTTCCCCTAAAAACCCTCACAGAAAGCACAGCCTGGGAGCAATTTTGGACACCACCCCTGCAGAGGTGCAGGTTTGGGATGGGGCTGGGTATGAAAAAAGCTCTGAGTCCCCAACAGGTGGGAGCTGCCTGATGCATTTAACCTGTTCTTAGAGTTTCACATCCTGCTGCTGCACTGACCAAGTGACACCTCAGTCCTCCCCCTTCCAGAGATGTTGCAGCATTTCCTCTGCTCCTGTCTAATTCAGGAGATTTTTTTCTCCCATGAATCAGACATCCTGCTCCCAGCCTTCCTTTCCCTGGTACTCACACCCACTCCTCCAGCAAGGTGGCCTCCTTGCTTCCCAGCGCTTGCCCTCCTACTCACCGGTGTCCAACCATTCCTCGAACTCCCAAGCCTGGGCTTTCCCAGGGGATTCAGTGCTGGGAGGGATTCTGGCACTGCTGAGCCACGCCAGGCTGCTGAGCACTTCCAGGTAAAGCTCAAGGTATATTTCCCTGCATCCAGATATTGCACATCTTCCTGCACAGGAACTTCATTCCTCATTTTCACCCCAGGACTGGGACTGCTCACAGCCACCCCCTCTTTTGGCAGTACCTCTCCCCTTCCGTGCCTTCCAGGGACAAATCCACCACTGTTCAAACCCACAGCTTTGGAGTGGGTTTAAAATTTCCCAGGGCACATTCCTACACCCTCTAGTTTCCAAACTCTCAGGAATTTGCCACACAAACGTATTCCTTCTCTTTATTTGTTTCTTCCAAGTAATTAGAGGGGGGAAGGATTGTTTGCTACCTGTCATACCTTGGTTTAAACCATTTGGGAACAAAGTGAGAAAACAAAAAAAAAGAAAAAAGGAGAGACTCGCAGTGGATTAAGACTGCTGATTGTAGTAACAAGAGAAGGTATTTTAATGACAGGTTTAAGACTTGCTAAGTAACTGCCATGAGGATTATGAATACATTTTGTAACAGGGTAAGATTAAGAGATAATCCTTGAAAAAAGAATTAATACGGCCAATGGATTTTTAGATGAAAAATAAACTACAAAAAAGACCAAACGCCCTTGAAAATTCTGCACAGGAAAAGTTTTCCATAGAAATGTTGACTTTGTTAAACATTTTCAGGTCAGTGTCCTCGGCAGGATTAAGCTGGTGTGTCTTAATGTGAGTGAAACGGCGTTGATTTATACCTCATTTAACTTGGGCATTTTTAAAATGAACTAACAAGCTCCTTGCCAAGCAGCAGCCTGGCATCCCCAGCCACAGGGAGAGTGGTCTGCAAGGAGCAAGCTGCCTTCCTTAGAAAACGAGCTCTTGCTCCCGAACAATGCCCTTATTGATACCCAAATGTCATATGGAAATTTTGAGGACACTTGGGGCCTTTCTCTTTCCTGACTCCACAAGACTTGATCTTAACCCTCGCCCAGCTGAATCTCTGACCAGCCATTAGCTTTTGGATTTGACCCTTTCATTCTGTATTCATCACGAGGAAGACAGGAAAGGCTGTATTTTCACTCTGTATCAGCAGTGGGAATGGACTGGACGTGGCACCTTCTTGGCTGTATGTGCGTGGATTTGTATCCACAAATCCATGCAGATCCCTGCTGACAGTGAAGCAGTTTCTGAGCAAGTTTTGGGGCCCTGCAAGACCAGCTGAAGGCTTGAATTCTTGTGTTTGGTGAGGGACATCTGCCAGCTGTAACACAAACCCAGCACTGACAGGAAGAACTCTGCCTTTCTGCTGGCCAGAAGAAACTGGGACTCTTTTCCTCACTATCTTTTTAAAATGACACTTATTCCAGTACAAAGAGGAGTACAAATTTAGAAACAAGTTAAAAGTGTTTTCAGGAAGTGTTATAGGCCCTTTCAGTCAACTTGAAGCTGAGCTTCACCAGGTCTGTTTTCCAGCTGAAAAATCAGCTGCAGGACTTGGAGTTCATAGTGGGAATTTCTGGTCTAAAGCATATCTGAGCTTTGTCCTTGCAAGTAACACAATATTTTTTCCAATAGAGATGCCTTGATATTATCCATGAATGAAACACCTCAGAAGCTTTTCACTTAAAAGGAGTAGAGGAAAAAGCAGTCAGTGGAAATAAAAATAAGAATTAATGGGTCGTTTTTGGTTGGAAGCATCCTATGAGCTTTTTAGTCTATTAGGAGTAAGAGGTGATGATCACTGCCTGTCACACTGTGGGATAAATCCCAGCTGCCAAAGGCTGCACCCATGGATGGATCTTTGCCCCATATCACACCAAGGCAAGACTCAAACTAAATTCCTGCTATGACATTACGTTGCATTTTGGGGCTGCTGAAGGGCTTTAAGAGATCACAGAGAGAGATATTACAGGCAACAGATGAAAGTAAAGGACAATGCAGCTCAAAAGCACAAAGTAGTTGGGACATAACCTTCCTCAAGACCCTCTGGAATCAGATACACTTCATGTATCGGGAAGGTTTTTAAGCTCGCGGTTAAGTGTCCAGTTGAGGTCTTTGTTTGGTCCATGGCCAGAGAGAAGCAAAAACTTCTTTTTCTCCCAGAGAAAGAGTTTCTTGCCAAGAATCCCCACACAAAGAAAACAAACACAGGAGAAGGCACCATCACAGATACCTAGGGAGATAAGCTGCAAAAACATGTGCTCTGGGCAAAAGTGCAAGGTGCAGAATGTGAGTTCATGGTCTACATGTGTTCTTCACTCTGCTTTGTTTGTTTTTGCTCGGTTTTGATGTGTTAAATTAAGGGATAGTTCATGGCCATAAGTCATCTTCTTGCTGTTGGAAGCCAAATAGTGGGAAGCAGGTATCTTGCACATCAGAGCCCAGCTGTTTCGTAGGGAGACTTCAAATGCCAGAGCGAGAACATGAGCAGTTGTTCCCTGGCCTTATGATGTTGAAGTAACTCCAAAGCTTCAGGAACAAAAACTGCCCTAGGTCCCAACTACAAATTGGAAAGGGATGAAAATACCTGCAGCTCAGAGGGGATCAGTTATTGAGATCATTAGCCTGCCAGGGGTGAGACTGAGTTTCTGTGATCCTGCGTGGTGCAGTTGCTGCTCCCAAGGCTTTGCTTGGAGCGGGACCAGCCTGTGCAGCACACGAGGTGGTAAATCTGAAAGGGTGATTATTCTGCCCCCACAGTTCAGGAGGAGGCAGGGAAAGATGATTCTCCTTCACCTGCCTCTTCCACACAGGGAGCAGGGAGATGCATGAGGCCAGCTGTGTCCCCTCACCATGGCTGTGGTGGCCCTCTCTCCTCCTGCCATCAAAAGGGGAAGGCTCCTGCCTCCAAATCCTTTTCCTTCCTCCCCTATTCTATGCTTCCATCTGGAGCAGTCCACATTTTTTCCTAGTCTGCTTTCATCTGCTCCTTCATCAGCAATATTTGTGATCAGACTGAGCTGGATGGGGCCTGCTCTGGTTGAAGGTGTCCCTGCTCGTGGCCACAGAGTTCTACTAGGTGATCTTTAAAGCCCCTTCCAATCCAAACCACTCTATGACTATATAATTTTCATCCAAGGTGAAACCACATATTTCCTGCTAAATGTGGTCTGGCTGCTGAAGCTCTGTGTACAACACACAGAGGTGGAAGGTTTTGTAAAGGCACAAGCAAAGGAATCACATAATTTGGAGAAGAGATGAATACTCTCAAAAGGTACAAATAGACAGCTAAATATTTTTCTCCCCATTGTCAGAGAATAACAGAGTAATTTGGGTTGGGAGGGATCTTTAAGGGTCATCTAGTGCAAACCCCCTGCAATAACAGGGACATCTTCAACTACATCAGGTTTCTCAGTCCAAACTGGCCTTGAATGTTTCCAGGGCTGGGGCAGCCACCAGCTCTCTGGGCAACCTGTGCCAGGGTTAACCACCCTCATTGTAAAAACTTTCTTCTCTATATCCAGTCCAAATTAACCCTCTTTTGGTTTAAAACCATCACTCTTTGTCCTGGTCACAACAGGTCCTGCTGAAAAATTTGCCCTCTAAAATATTTGTTCCCTTTAAGTATTGAAAGGCTGTAACAACATCAGCCTGGACCCTTCACCTCTCCAGGCTGAAAAACCCCAACTCTCTCAGCCCATCTCCATGGAAGGGATGCTCCATCCCACTGATAAGAGGAACTTGGGCAGCAAAACAAAAATCCAACTTTCTACAGAATTTTCCCTCGCCAAAATCATGACTTACAACTGTTAACATTCAGAGAACATCATCCTAAAAATGTACTGCAGCAGTAAAATCTCAGGGTTGTCACAACCTTGCTACTTGTGCATCTGGCAAGTGTGCTGTCAAGCACCAGCCTAAAAGCAGCAGCAACCAAAGCTGGAGGATGATCAAATATTTCTGGTTTGTGTTTCATTGTGATCACCATTTTTATCTTTTTGTTTCCTAACAGAGCTCCATTTCAGGAGACAGTGGGGAAACTGCTGGAAGCCAAAATCATGTCACTCTGCTGGGCTGCACAGACTGTGGCTGGGAACCCAAATATTGTCTGTCAGACTGGGAGAGCTGGACCAAATAATAAAGAGAAATATAAGTTTTTTTCCCCCACAAACAAACAGTGAACTTCTCGGTTTGTTATTTATGGGTTTCATAGCTTCAAATATTCTCTGGAAGTGTTTCCAAGAGGTCCACTGAAATTTTACCACGAAGATAGCTTTCCTCATAAAATTCCAGAATTGAGATATTCATTCCTGGTTGCTCAATATTCAGCTCCCCAAGCAGGAAACAGAGGGTTTAAATCATCAGTGGCACACTGGGGCTTCAGAGAAATTAAACTAAGCAGTTTTTTAACACGCCTCAGTCGCCAGAAGAGTTTGCATAAAATGCATACCAATAAAGAAGGCTTTCATAAACTCATCCATCACCGCACACAGGGATTGGATACATCTGGTAATTTATTTCCAATGGATAACCCAATCTGTTCAGAACTAAAGGAAGGTGTGAGCCATTGGTCTCCCTTTTACATCCATCACAACTCACTGGTACCTGTGATGACAGTGAAGCCACCAACAAATGCACAGCCTGGCATCAAGGTTGTAGCTCTCCTGTATGTTTTCCTAAATCCAGTTTAAAGTCATAATGTACTTTATTAGCTGCAGACAGAATATTTAAATTAAAAATATTTTTTCTTTAAAGTTTCATCTTTTGAAATGCCAATTGGTGATATTCAAGCCACATGTTAGCCACTTGTTTTTAGGGTAGAGGGTGTACCTTAGTACAAACCTTTCTCTGTTTCTTGAAAAAACAACAATAAAACACCCTTTGCCTTTTATCCACATCTGGCTGCAGGAAAACAGTGACCCATGGAATTCAAAATTTCATACTTCACTGCTGCAGGCAAAGTCCTGAGGTTACTCTTGCTGTGTTTGTGAAAGATGTGGCGCTGTCAGGAGAAGAGCTTATTGAAAAAACACATGGGGGTTCTGTTTCCAAAAATTACGGAATTAGTTGGTGATAAGAGGCTTTTTAATGCCCCCTAGCCATTTGTGGGACTTGATAGGGAATGGTTCTGTTAATTGCAAGACAATTGCAAGAGTAAAGAGTCCATGTGAGATCTTGAAGAGTGCCAGCACCACCACCACAGCTCAGCTGCTCTGTGTTGCACAAGTAACATCTCTACAAAGGCCTCCAATTCCAAGCAATTAGGCATCAATAAAACAAGTATAATAAATAAATATAATAAAATAAATAATAAAATAAGAGTAACCTTGGATCTCACCTTACACTGAAGATGTCACAATGCCATGATGACTCAGGTTTCACACAAATTCAGGCAGGGAAGGAATCATCAGGAAGAGGAGGAAGAGACACTGAAGATGTCACAATGCCATGACTCAGGTTTCCCACAAATTCAGGCAGGGAAGGAATCATCAGGAAGAGGAGGAGGATGAATTAAATTCATTTTCCCAATTCATAAATCAGCCTTCTGCATTCCCAGGGACCATCAAGTAGAACTAAAATTTGGCCTGAACTGAGAATCTGGGAGCTCTACTCCAATCCACATTCATCAAAGCAGCTGCCATTGGTGCTACAGACCTTACATGAGAGAGGTATGAGCCCAAAGA